GTAATGATGGCATAGAACTTGTGAAAGTGGTCAACCCATGCTGGTGCAACTTGAGGCCCACACCATGAGAAGGAGCCCATGTCTGACACTGCCTATGGCTAGGAACCAGAGGCTGGACACCCCAGAGACCTAGGATAGAACCAAACATGACTGGTGGTGGTGGGGGGGGGGGAGGGAGTGAGTGAGTGAGAGTTAAACGATTCCTAATGAAATTCTGCTATACAATGATCAGCAGACAGGCCTCATCCAGCAACTGATAGAAACAGATGCACAGATCCACAGCCAAACATTAGGGAGAGCTCTGGGGGACCAAAGAAGAGGGGTTGAGGACAACAGGAGAACATGACCCACAGAATCAACTAAGCAGGGCTCATAGGGCTCACAGAGACTGAAGTGACAATCAGGGAGCCTGCATAGGTCTAAGCTTGGTCCTCTGTATATACATTATGATGGAGTAGCTGGGTATTCTTGTGGAACTTCTAACAGTGGGAGTGGGGGGGTGTGTCTCTGATTCTTTAACTGCTCTTGGGACCCTTTACCTACTTATGAGGCTGCCTTGTCCCACCCTGACATGAGGTTTTGTGCCTAGTCTTATTGTATCCTGTTAGGCCATGTTTGGCTGATATCCCTGGGATGCCTGCTCTTTTCTGAAGGGAAGCTGAGGAAGAGTGGATCCAGACAGAGGGGATGTTGGGGGTGGGAGGGAGGGGAAACTGTGATTAGAATGTATTGCATGAGAGAAGACTAAATAAGAAAAAAATAAAAAGAAAGTGTATGTCTGACTCTTATTCTGTTTCTTATTCTTTATTCTGTTAAAAATGATATTTAATTTAAAATATTTTGATGTACATGTACATGTATATGTACATGTATATGCATATGTCTGCGTGTGGCTTTGTGCACCTTACAGGAGAACACTGGATCCCCTAGAACTGGAGCGAAAGGCTGTTGTGTGCCATTTCTCAGTTTGGCACCACACTTCTTCTTTCCTTTCTCACCCAGGTCTAAACCGGAAGCTGAGCCAACAGAGCCCAAGCCATATGGGCATGCTTCTTATAGGAGCCTGGCCAGAAGAGTAGGGAAGGTAACACCAGCAGCCCAGGAAGCTGACTAGGGGCAGCTTCGCTGATGAGAGAAATGGAGTTTTACACACACACACACACACACACACACACACACACACAAGGCCTTAGTTTTGCTAGGGATTTACATAATTTTATTAAGAAATTTCATGTGACATTTTGTTTTCTCGACTTCTTAGATGTGGAATAAAATTGAGCAGCCACAGAGCTGTATGGCAGCTTTGTGTGAAGCCACAGGTCAAAGTGCAAAGGGAACCGTTTGTTAACCACAAAAGAAGGTTAGAAGAGAGCAGGCAAAAGCATCTTGGCCTAAGTACTGCCATTTTGACTTCAGACTCCATTTGACCTGATTTTTATACTTAAATACTTGTTTCAGGTGACACTGGGGTCACAGTTCAGCTCCTGAGTCTGTTCTGCCACCCGGATTGATGACTCCACTCCTCTCCCCCTTCTTTTGTGCTGTCCTGCACTAAATCTTGCATTGTGGTGACCTCTTGTGTCTGTCTGGGTTGATTCAGAGCTTTGAACCACAGCAGGTTGATGGAAATGATTATAATAACTAGGGTTGTTACCTGTGAAACTGGAAAAACAAACAAAGGCTTGTTTATATTCTTATCCAGTGTGCCCCTCAGTTTGGGGATTTTTCTTTTTCAATGGTTTTAATTTTGTTTGTGAAGTCTCTCTCTCTCTCTCTCTCTCTCTCTCTCTCTCACACACACACACACACACACTTTACAGGTATTGTATATATACACATTCATGTATGAAGGATCTTTTCAGGTTTGTAGTTGATTATGTTTGCCTCTTGGTGGATGTACAATCAACACAGAGACAAAATTGGGAATGTAGACATTATTTTTCAGATATTTTTCAGAGATAATAGCATAAAATTTTAATAGTTATAGACTTCTGTATTTTTCTGTGTATAAAATCTGTAGGATGCCATCAAAGATGTTTAGAGTTTATTTCAAATCACATTAGAAACATCTGACTACAATGTAGTTTTTTCTGTTTTTGAAAAAAAAGATAATTAGGCTTATAACAATGAATCAAATTAAACTGTCTGCAAGGAACTCATCTAGTTGTAATGTTTGATTTATTTACTTTAATTTTAACAATAGCAAATTATAACAACACTCAATAGTTTTTAGTTTAACACTCTTCAACCTTTTTGAAAATACTTTCTGTGTATTATCTTATTGGATCTATTCCAGATGTTAATAATTGGATAAATTTGTTGATGGTATATTTGAGTTTCCCCTCAACTACCAATTGGTTATGTTTAGACTTTTTGACAATTCATACATATGTACAATACATTGTAATTATATTTAACCTGAGTTACTCTACCCCATCTACTCCTGCTGGCCTCTTTCTTCACAACTCTCTACCTCATTTCTTCCTCCCTCCCCCAACCCATTGACTTCAGTAAGGGTTGCTTGTGTTAACAAGGCTATGGGCTTTTTTTCTGGAGCTTGAGCAACGGTTTTCAAGGATTTGGTTAACTAATGAAACAGTTACCTACCTATGTAGGACAGCACTGAGCTTGTGCTGAACTAACTTTGTCCTGATTTACTTAGTATCTCAGAAGGATGACATAGTCTAAGTTTGTTCAAAATTGCTTATTATGCTGACAAACAATGGCTAGCCAGATCCATCATCTGCAGCCCTTCAATTCAGAAAGCTCTAGGACCCTACCATCTTGAAGGTTAGGCTCAGCCTGACACAAAGCTCTGTGGACAGAAACTGTAGTGAATGCCAGAAACACTTGGTGAGGAAGAGTGGCAAAATGAGGAATCTACGGGTGTGGGGGAGGCCCAGTACCACCTGGAGGGAGATGATGAGAAGACGAGAAAAGACAGCAATCTTCAGACCTGGGTGCTGGGCTTGGGCTCACTGTTCTCCCTGTGTGCTCCGGAACCAGAGAAGGTCCTGAAACAAGTGGTCCTTTCTTTATCCTTCATCGTTTTCACTTATATTCACTTTGGGACTGTGTGCATGTGGCTGCTGACTTTTACTTGTGAGCCCTATGAATCAAAAGACTAGCTGAGTTTCTCTACAATTTTCTTATTCCTTTGTTCCTTCTACAGAGAAGGTGTCCCCTACTGTTACAAAATGGGTTCATATGGCTCAATACTCATATCTGAAAATTGTATTATCCAAGAGAAGGAAGGATGTTTTTTTCAGGTTCATTCTCCTTGAATCACCGTGTTAGGAGCCCATTCTTGAAGCAATCACTATATTAGGATAATGCTACATGCTGATTGGCTTGTGTCTGGATGCTCACTCCTGTATTGTAGGAGGGGAGATGGTGTCAATAGGAAGAATACACCATAACAATCAATTGCTTCTCAGGGTGAGGGGAATTGGAACCAACTGGTTATTTTCATGTATGTAAATAACACATGCCTCACCAGTGCTTGCTCCAATTGCTCTAATCATCTTCCCCAAGTTGCACAGAATTTTCGGGGATGTGCTGGGGTAGATTTGGTGGGCTTTAACATAGAAGGGTGACAACCCCCAAGGTGGTTGTGGGATCTAATCTTGTCAAGCTTCTACAGAGTCAAGCCTTCTGGAACCGTGTTTCACAGTAGTTCAGGAGTAAGTTTAATTAGGCCGTCTAAAATTAACCACTCAGAACCTGAAAAGTCAAAGAATTATTGTCAGTTGTGTTCAAGGTGAAAATGAAAAGCCTCTCCCTTTCTCTGCTTCTCCAAATGGAATTTCTGTGAAGTCCAGTAGGCGCAGGAGGCCTTAAAGGTCTTTCCTTTTCCTTATCTTCTTCAGGTGACACTTTTGCTGCCTTTTGTCTATACAGCTGTGGTTTTAACATATGTAATGTGAAACCTTTGGATGGTTGGGTACCAGACCCTAGGACCATCACTGATTCAGATATCAGAGGTTCTGTAAACACAATGGAGGCATCTTCTTTACACATATCATGGAGTTCAAAGGAGGGCAGACTCCTTACAGTAAAAGTTAGAAACCTCAGCTCTCTTCTTGCCTCCCAGGGCACCACAATGCAAACTTCATTTTATATTACATTGTGGGTTTGAACAGGATCAATAGCCACTGATTGGTAAGGGAGTCTTGTTCAGGAAGGGTACCAAACTACAAAAACCCTGCCATAACATTGTTCTCTACCTGAGGCTGGCTAATGATTCTGCAGACACCGCACCAGCATATTTAAAATGGGTCTCTGCCCCAACCATCAAGGACTTCTAGCTGCAGATACCAGATCTATCTCATTATCTGGTGGATTCTGGTATCGGCTTTCCTCTTACTAGCTATAAAACTGCAGGCAAATGATTTTCTCTTTCTATTTCTCTTGTCCAGAACAGACAACGCTTCCCCTTCATTATAGCAGCATCATGCACACAGGTCTTCTTCTAGTATTACAAAGATTTGAGGTGTCAGGGAATTATTGCTTAATCTCTCAAACACACAAACTGGGTCGGAGCTTTTTCACCATGCAGTACTTGAATGTGCCTGCAGTTTCTTTGTTATGACAGGATGTTGTAAAGTGATAGCATTTGATCATTCTAAAAAGTGAAGCACTCTGATGGTTCTGCTTTGTAAAATTAGATACTGGGCTCGTGGGGGGAGGGTAGGGAGAGGTGCATATGTAAGCCTTTTCGCTAGTATCCTGTGGGCAGAATGGGGCTAAATCTCTGATCACAGTGATCCCCTCCATATCATTTGCAGGAGATCTGTGACTTTACCTGCTTTAAGAAATTGGAGGGAAAGAGCACCTACTGTGACACACACATGGCTTCTGAGAATCAAAAGAATGGCTTTGGATGCAGCCCATAAGGAGCTATCTATGTCCTTCCTGAGAATAATTCCAAAGTCCCATTATGGTTGACCAGGGAATGTTTTTAAAGTCATTTCTCCAAACTGCTAATAAATTGCATCCACGCAGCTGAAATCCCTTTATTTTGCATGAAGGATATACAGAAAAAGGCAAACCAAACACTCCCTGCAATATCTATAGATCACAGAATGGCCCTGGTGCTTGTTCAGAAGTTCCAGGGAAAGAAGGGTATGCACTCAGTTGGGAATGTTGGGGAGGTCCCCATGTTGCTCTCAAAGGGCACTATTAAAAGGACTGTGTAATGTGTGTAATCTCTGACTTCCCAGGAGACACAGCATGGAGCAGGTTGGGGAGAAGGGAGTCCTGGAGACTGGTGTCTTTACTGTTGCATTATATGGTACCTTCTCCTTCATCCATCCCTGGTTCTCCTTTCCAAAATGGGTTTTAATCCATTCCTGGTCTCTTAGGATATTTAAGGGAAGCTGTAGAGAAGACAGAAGGTGGAATTAAAGAGAGACTTGGTCTGAACTTAGATGTGACCATATTTATTCACAGCAAGGGTACACTTTTGTCACCCACATGTACAGATGGCTAAAATGCCTGTGAGGAAGATGGCATGTGGCCCCTCATAAGGGTTGGAAACTTCCTTAGTTTACAAGAGAAGCTGGGAATTGTAGTTTTTCGATAAGAAACTATCATTCCTGACTCTGAGAGGATATAAAAATATAGGGCAGGGGTGTTTTATTGCTGTTTTGGGGGTTTTGTGCTCTGTTATAAGGGGTAGTCCACTGAAGAGGTGTCCTCTGACCATGTAGCAGGGGAGTGTCTTAACTTGACTGGCTGCAATGAATCAGGCGATTGCCATGCTATATCCCTGAAGAGGCTTGGGAAATAATGATTAGAGCACTGTAAGCAGGTGGTTTAGTTATGGATTTGTTGGCATGACATTCTTAGCAGCAGTCAGAGCTAGTCCTTTCTAATGGTGGAGTACTGCAGCAGTCCTGGAGTCGAGCTGTCCCTGAAGGATGTTAAGTTGATCTGAGCTGATGAGACAAAGAGGTGAATTGATGTGAGGAAGACACGTTCAGCCCAGCTGCTTTAGTTCTGATTCCCTAGGACAATGTCCAGTCTGGAAAGGCAAGGAATAAGTTCACTGACCTATGGCCTATTAGTCTCCTTTGGGAGATCACCTGAGGTCCTTTCAGAGGTTTGGGAGTGTTGCTCACTCAGTAACTGCTTCAAGGCTGACAGAAGGATAGTGACGGGAGCAGCAGTTAGACTGACTTAGAAGAGGGTCCATCCAAGGGGCCTTGAGAAACAGCATTCGGCAAAGACCCAGAATGTAAGTCAGAGGCATAAACTGCACAACTTTGTGGGGAACATGAAGAGACAAGTTACATGAGGAAAACCTTTACCTCATGACTAAGAGGAGTTACATGCAGTTGTACAAATGGCTTGTTCATGTGTTCTGTAGAAAGATAAGGTAACCAATTTGCTGCTTGCTTACACCAGACTCTTGCATAAGGAACAAGAACCTGGAAGCTTTGTAAAAGATGTCAGCTACAGTCAGCATCTAAGGGCTGAATCTGAACAGAAAGTGCCTAAGTGACATTCCTTGCTTCTAAGTATCATTAACTTTGCATATTTGCTTTATATATTAACAATACTCCCTATTATTTAGTGAACAAAACCAGAGTATCTCATGTAAAAAAATGTGGTTAGAAACAACTTAATAGGGTGAATTTTAAAAATCAGGGCTATTACCTTATATGCTATTTAAAAACAGCAATATATATTTTTGCTAAGATCAAATTATACCTATACTCCAAGATTATACAGTAAACATATTTTATATTGTCAAGCTGTATAAGGAGACAACTTAATTCTAAGTTGTATTCCCCCAAAAGAAATTATTTAAAAATTTCAAATTTAAAAGTATATTCCCAGAGACAGTGTCGGCCTTACTAAGAGTAAATGATTCACTTTACAAATTAGCACTATTTCTAAAATTACCCCTATTAACAGAACCTTTAAAAATTCTCTACATTTTCATTCCACATACTTAACCAACAGATGAAAGTTGAAAGCAGTCAGTCATGCCAAAACTGTAGTGATTTCTGGAAGTGCTCTGTGTTTCTAGGCCTGGAGGGTTCCAGAGGACAAGGCACCATTATGGTGAATGAATACAGGGTGGCCACGTGGGAGAGAGTGAGGCAGAGCAATTCGTGTGCTGTGGAGAGAGGCAGATCTGAACAGGTGAGGGTGTTGAGAAACTGGCTGAGGTAGATGTTCTGTTTGGCAAGCAGGATCTCCACAACACAGGGTATCTAAGAAGAGCCCTAGTGAGGGCCCAGTATCAATAGCAGAATCCAGAGGCCTTGAGCCAGACCAACGACTCATTGCAGTGAACACTTACAAGTAAAGATGTATGCACTAAAGGGTAGACTGTGTGACTCACTGGGCCATGCTACAGCTTCCATGCTGAGGTTTTAAAAAATAATTTTGTTTTTTGTTTTTGTTTTACTTTTAAATTTGTTTTGGGTGGGAGGTTGCATGGGCAGAGGGCAGAAGCAAGGGGACCAGGAGATGAGTGGGACAGGATGCATAATGTGAAATTCACAAAGAATCAATAAAAAGTTAAAAAATAATTTCCTTGTAACATACAATGAACTAACAAAGAAGGCTAAATGAACTCTTGTGTGCTTATTGACAAATCTCTAGGTCACCGCATACTGACAGTAGGAAGCATATTTTGAACTGTCAAGAGCAACATTTGGACATTCTGAGGAAGTTTTTAAAGCCATGGGGTTGATGGCAGAGTACCTGGCATCCTCTTTTAGTCAGAGCGTGGACTCTGAAATTAGCTCCCGCTAAGAGGAATAACTGAAAGCCAGGAGAGAGATCTCGGCCAACTGAACTAGCATGCAGGTCCTACACCTGTCTGGTGGTGTCTACATACAGGTTCCCCTGTTCACAGCAGCCTCACATGTCAGCCCAGGAAACACTGAGGATAGAGTAAGTCCCATTTGCCTCTCTGTGTTTAAGAGAAGTAGGGTGTGGATTCAGACTCTGGAAACCTCCACTGGCCTGTCAGATGAGACAGGGAATGTAATTCATCTTTAGATAAGGAGGAGTTTTTTTTTTAATTGTTTGGCTTACATGACTGGAGCTATACAACCAGAGCCAGTCAGACCTATTCAGCCAGAGGCAGAAGCATCAGACACTGCAGGTCTTACTGCCATGCAACCTTGTTCTGTAATGAAACTAGCATGTGATTTACTCTGGTGGGATGGTGTTCCATCCAAGACAACCTGGGGCCCTCTGCCATGAAAGTGTATTATAAATTTAACCCATTTTACTCAAGCATTTAATTCTTATAACCAATTCTGTATATCAGATTTTGAATGTTATTTTATATTAAACAACATTTAAGTTTATTTTAAACTTCTTTTGATTTAATTGTTTCAGGTTTAACTTTGACAACATATATAAAATATATGATAGGAGATAAAAGTGTCTCTGAAAATAAATTACATTTGTACATAGCATGGTTGACCATTAACTTGTATATCTTAACTGTCTTTAACAGTTTATGATTAGTAACTTGTTTACAATTTCATCCTTGTTAAGTCTGAGCCTTAAAAATTATAATTTTTCAACTAAAGATTCTTGAGTAACAAAATAAAGTTTAAAAGGTAAATACAGTCCACAGAGAGATTGGGGACCACATTTTCCTAATCTTTTTATAATGTATTTAATATGTTTTTAATATGACTCAGTTTCTAAACAAGCTATCTTGGAAGCCTGAGGTTGCATCCTTAGTCTATTAAAAGGGAGATACAGAGATAGGCAGAGGTCTCAGTGCATCTAGTTGTTTTATGGTACTGCCTTAGTTGATTTATACCACATGGGCATCTTGAAAGACAGTGGTAAAGTCACATGTGGTAGAGTCACATGGCTGCCAAGATTGCTAAGTGGTAGAAGTTACATAGTACTTCAAGATGAGTCCATCATGCACTCACCCTTTTTATAGACAAGAGTTGAGTTCAAGTTACATATATGGTGTGTTATAGCAAATTAAGATTATCTATGCTTCCTTCTTAAATAATAATCAATGAACTTAACCCTAAAATACAGAAAGTTAGAAGTTTCAGCCAAAACTTTACAGATAGTAAACAAAGGAAAAGGAAGTGAGAATTCAGAAGTAAACACCTTGCCATTTGTACCCTCAGTGGGAAATTGCTTACTTCTTAGTTGTTCTCAAGTGCAAAGTATCTTTTCTTGGATGTTCTCTTTTTCTCTCCTTTTCCCTGTAGTATTGTCAGGCGACCAATCTGTGACAGGGCAAGATAGTACGGAGGTTCCTCCATCTTGTATTCTTGCTTGCATTCATTTCAAGTTTAACTAGAACTTGATCTCTTTGATGGAGAATCCCTTGGAAGATTACCCAACTCTGTTCTAGGAACCCAAGCTCAAGATGCCCCAGGTAGCTTAGCTCAGCTTCTGTTAAACTGCTTGCTTGTGTAAACCTCCCCTACTGCTGCAGAATGAGATATCATGATGTGGCTTTCACTTTTGAAAGCCTCTTGCTCTAAATGCTCCAGGCTACACTTAGGTCCTGAATACCTGAGTGTAGTCCCAGCCAGCTGGGGAAAAAAAGGCAATTGGCTATAAACTGTGTCTGAATGGCCATCTCTGGTAGGCTCCCCATGACATTACATTGAAATTAAATTTGTTTCTCATTTATCTGGAGGCTAAATCCAAGTTCAGGTGACATCATCTAATGAGGGCCTTTATGCTCTATCACAATATGATACAAAGCCATCCAAACACACATAAGTCAGAGAGTCATAACAAAGGAGCCCAGTCCAGAAGGAATGAAGCCACTCTAGAGATATCCCCTCTAGTCCTGTGAGGAAGGCATTGTCCTAGTTAGTTTCAACTGTTTACTTGACACAATCTAGTCTCCAAAGTAAGAATTCACACTCGAGGGATTTTCTGGATCATATGTGGGCATATGAATAGTGGAATGTTTTGAATTGATGAAGGAAGGTCCATCTCACTGTAGGCAGTGCCATTCCAAGAACAAGTCTTGGGTTCTATAAGAAAAGATAGCCAAGTATAAGCCTACAAATGAGCCAAAGCTTGTTCCTGCTTCGATTTCTGCCATGACTTCACTCAATGACTGTTATCCTATAACCCCAACTGTGAACTGAATAAATTCTTTTCTTCCCTCAATTGTTTTTTTTCAGAGAGTTTTAACACACCAATAGATTGAAAGTAGAACATGCATTAATAAACTTAAGAGAGTGATGCCCCCCTAAACTAACCACCTTTTAAAATTTCTATTTCCCAACACTGTCATAGTGATCACTAAATTTCAACTTGAATTTTGGAAGATAAACCAAGCCAGATGTCAAAGTCTTGTCCTTCACCCATTACCATCTCTAGTACTCTCTGCCTTTAATATATCTCCAGTCTTTCTCCTTTTCAGTTGTTTCTACACCTCTGCCACTCTGCCCCCACATTGCCTGCCCTGTACACATCAAAGGAGTGAAGTGGCCAAAAGACTTTCTTTAATGCACAAACTAACTGTCATGCTTGTTTAAAATTCTTCAGTACCTTTCCATTATGGAAGATGAAATTCTTTTCAGATTCTTAGTACGGCTTGCGAAGCCCATCCCCACTGGCCCTGACTTTCTCTGCAAGCAAGCTCCTCCTTTGGTTCCCCCCCCCCACTCTTTATGCCCCAGATACACAAACTTTCTCAGATCTGTCATGGATCAGAAACTTCCCCTTCAGGAGGAAGCAGAGGTATGAGTAAAAGTCTAGATTCAGATTAGTCATGGGGGGGGGGTCTTGGACTCATCTGATTATGTTAAGCTGCCTATTAAACTAGTATGATTGCTAATGAAGAGAGAAAGTAAGTCAACATATATGTACTATATATGTAGCACTGCTGAAGGAGGGAAGGAAATATATCAGGCGGAGTGAAAATTAACTGGAGTCATTTAGGTTACAGTTTTATGTTGAAAAAACTGGAATTAAGTTATTACATTGACTGATCTAAGATACATGTCTTTCTGCTTTGGTACACACTAATAAACCATTATTATTATCTTCTTCTTCTCTCTCAGGTAGTTTCCCAGCACTTGGCTTATTATTGAAAATATAGTCTACATGGGAGAATTTCAAATCTACACTTTAATAAACTGGAAACTTAATTATATTTTCAAAACAGCCCGGAGGTCCTACACTACATTTCAACAAACTATTCAAGTTGAATTCTAGTTCAATGCTGGAAGCAAAACTTTATACTACCCAACCCATTCTATTCATGAATTCCACCAATGCAATTTATTTTCACATTTATCATAAGCAACAAATAAATCATGTGTTGTTATCAAAATGCAAAGCACACTCCATGATACACTGCTTGTTCTTTTTATTGCATTTCTTTTATTGCTTAGAGATGTTCCCCAATGATAAGTCAAAATGATTTCCAAAAAATGAATTAGAAAAGATAGCAAGCTTTAAAACATTTCTCTCTGCTGTTGGAAAATTTCATTGCTGCACTATTTTAATAATCTAGGTAGAAAAGTAGTTACGGAGGCTTTGTGATTTCAAATACAGTTGTGAATCAACAAAACTAAACCCCAGCTGGTCTGATTTGATTGCTGAAGGTGACTGTCATGGTAACAGACTAACTTGGAGTCAGCAAACTTAAGTGTGAAGCATTGCAGTAGCATGCATTTAGGAAGGTAACTTCCCTGGGCCTCAGGTTTCTCTGGAGGATGTTACATCTTCTCGTAAGGTTGGACGATTCAGATGACTGGACCCACCAGAGAAGTGTTTGACACATGAATGGTCACTATGGTTTAAGGAGCAATAATGATGCAAGCAATAACGATCCCACCTTCTCTTGATCTTTTTTATTCACAAAGGAAGACACCAAACTGCTCCTGGTGTTCAAGCAACAGTATCTGCCATGGATACAGTGTCTGACTTGGTTGGCTTCCAAAATCTTGTTGATTTTCTCAGACATGGCTGTCATGGTTAGGAGTGTACTAATTTCAGCATTAGCTTCTTACCAGTAATCTGGATTACTGTGGCTAGGTATCATAGACTTCTAAATTTATTGTGATCTATATGGCTTCTATCTATAATGTTGTCTTAAAGGGACAGTCTTCTAGATAGCTATGTTATTTCCACCTTTCTGGAAAACAGAACACTGGTTCATTGCTGTACTTAGCTATTTACTAAGTATATATCACACATCACACACTGTTGTAAGCAAGTGGAAATGGCCAC